AATGAGCATAAAACCAAATGGATGCTTTTTTCGATTAGACCTCCTTAATATTACGTTCAAAGCTTTGTACTTCGAACAGGCCGAACTACCTCAAGTTAAGAAAATATGTTCCTGGAAGAACTCTCAGGTCCTCTAACAACGTAAAATTGGAAGTGCCGTTAGTTAATGGTACTTTCCAAGACAGTGCTGGTGCTGTTTTTAATAATTTGCCAGCAGATATTAGAAGTTGTAACGATTTTAATATTTTTAGACAAGAAATAATTGCCTTAGCCAATACTAGATTATTAGGATAAGCTAAAATACATCATTATATCTATTTTATAATATATTATTTGTAAATAGCCTTTGTAAATAGCCTAAATAATATTTGTAATATATTATTTGTAAATAGACTAGTTTCTTAATTGTTTTTATAACCCACTAAATAATGTAAGAGCTACTCTGTGGAATTCCCATTAAACCATTCTTATTATTCTTAACACTGTGAAGGAATTGAAGGGGTGTTTAATTCAAAACTTAGAAGTAGTTATATGTATTAATTAATATTTTGATTTTCAAATACTTATTATAGTTTTGCTAATTTATGTACATATATCTGTCTCTCTCTTTTATGGCTTAAATAATTTTTTTCCGTTTCGGTTGCACACGTATCGGATTTGAAACCAGGTATTGCTGCAAATTTCGATCAGTGCTCTTGCCCACCGGCATCGCAAAAGAGCAAGTTTGATTCCTGCCAGAGGACCTTTAGTTGACTCATTTTTCTATCAACTGTTCCTGGTGTGAACTTGAAGTGTGTATAATTCCACTCGAAATTAAGTACATTTAAGGTGGCTCCCTACAGTTCTGATTGTGTAATGCTCAATTGTGTTGTTAATGAAAGACCATTATTTCATCATCTTACAAAGTATTATCACGAACTTGGCCACATAACTGCTATGATATCGCAAATTACAAATATATAAAATTTTGTAAAATATACTTGTTGCCATGGTAACATAACGATTTTAAAAAGGGCCAATTTGCAGACTCTGAGATAATTTTTTGAAATTTTCTTCGGTAAAACTTTCTAATTTTTTCCACACAGTAATCTTATCCATAATTCTTTCTAATGTTAGCATTTAAAAAAAAATTGTACGTACTTAAAAAAAAAAAACTATTTCGCGTACTATTTCGCGCACGACAAAATTACCTCGATACAACCATAGAACTGTAGGGAGCCACCTTAAACCTCTAGAATATTCCTGCATCAAGTGAAGTGCCAAAAATAATAATTGGTTTACCCTCACCTATTCCCAACATTACCATCATATACATATTAACCACGCTTGCTCTTGTCAACTACCTCTGTTGCTCAGTCGCAAGAGCATTGCACCGGCATCGCAAAAGCGTATGTTCGATTCCTGCTGGAGGACCTATAGGTGACTCATTTTTCCATCAACTGTTACTTGTTGAACTTGAAGTGTGTATAAATCCACTCGAAATTAAGTCCCTTTAAACCTCTAGAATATTCCTGCATCGAGTTAAGTGCCCAAAATCATAATTGGTTTACACTCACCTATTCCCGGCATTACCATCATATACACAATAACCACGCTTAGTAAGCGACTTTATTAGGGTAAACACTTGACAGTAACATTAAAGTTTCTGATAAACTAGTGGCCCTCTATCCAAAAGATTACTTAAAATATATAGTATGATTATATACACTAATACATATTGATAAATCATATATACACTATAAAAACCTACAAAGTATATCTATATACGGTTTAAGAGCAAATACATATTAAACAGACATTAAATATTATATATCACTGATAAATAGATTAGTTTCCTTCTGCTTTGTTAAAATATCTTTGTACATTTTCTTTTTAAAATTCCTAACAGTTATAATTTTCTTTAGTTCTACTAGTAATTTATTCCAATCTTTGACTGTCCTTACTGCGAAAGTACGTCCCCCATCTCATTGAAAAGCGTGTACACCTTGTTTTAGAACAGTATTGATGTAGTTGGGCGTCATTCCTATAAGTTGTTTAAGGGCCAAGCAACATCTATTTATATAAGACTCAGTATAAAAAGGTATCCAATCTAATTCGTTAAACATATTTATTGTTCTAGTTGTCCTTTTGGCATCCAATATAATATGCGCTGCTTGTTTTTGCATCCTAAATATTCTCTCCAATCCTTCTTTGCTACACGAAGACCACACAGAGGATGAATACAGCATCAGTGGTTTTATGACTACAAGGTAAAATGCCATTCTCTGGCTCTGATGTGGGTAAGGACTTATATGCCGCAAAAGGCCGAGTCGCTTCGACAATTCTTACAGAGCTTGTCAACGTGTGTTTCGTAACAAAGGTCGTGGTCGATATGCATGCCAAGTAGTTTGTAGCTTGTAACTTGTTTAATATCTATGTCATTCAACTTGATCTGCAACTCTGTTGTATTTGAATCGCTCTGACGCCGCAGTAAATGCTTCCCTGCCACGAGCATTGCTTTCGTTTTATCTACATTGATGTGCCTTTTTTTTGGCCTTTTTTTTTCCTGGACCAATTATTTACATCCTTCAAATCTTTTGACAAAGATTGGCTCAGATTAGCTTGAGCAGAGATTGAAAAGGTGATGGAGTAAACATGATATTAAGCAGCATATTTATAACTGAGTGGTATAAAGCCATGTCTCAGCAATTTTGTTTGTCGAAGCAAGGAAAGAGTTCGATAATTTCAGGCAGTTTGAATTTGACATATCGTCCATAAGTTTCTCTTTCAACACATTTAATAAAACCTAGACCCTAATTATTAAAACTGTTAAAATAAATTCAAAAAACCAAAACTTAAAACCATGGCAAATAAAATATATATTTCGCTGATTCTCAGCCTCTTCAGTTCGATGCCATGTTAAATAATAATAAGTCAATACTTCATGTCTTCTGACTGAAACGTTTTCCCTCCTATTACTTCATGTACAAACCATAAAAGCACTTATTCAGCACTACAAAGCACATAAAAGCACTCGATTCAGCACTTAAAGCATATAGAGTGATGGAAGAAGCTGAACGAAAAGGTGAAACACCGGTTCATCGACCAAAAGGTTGGAAGAAGAAAGAAAGAGAGCAAGAGAAGCTTAGAAAGGAAGTCAGTTGGTATAAGAAGGATGGTAGTGAGTCTGTTATTTTTGTCCCGGCAACACCAGGATCACGGTTGAAGAAAGCATACGAATGAGAGATACGGAGTCAAGGTTTTAAGGTTAGAGTGATCGAGAAGGTTGGTAAAAGTTTGAAGACGATGTTGCAAAGATCGAACCCATTGAAAGACCGTCATTGCAAGAAAATGGATTGTTTAGTGTGCACAACAGGGGGAAATGGGCCTTGTGATCGGCAGGGGGTGACATGTGAGATACTTTGTAATGAGTGTGGAAATATGTATATCGGGGAGTCATCACGGAGTGCATACCTGAGAGGGAATGAACACAGGAAGTCACTCAGTAGCAAGGATGAACACTCAATACTTTGGAAACATTGTAAGGAGAAACATGGGGGTAGATGTCAGAGTTTTCACATGAACGTTACAGGTATATTTTCTAAGGATGCTATGTTAAGGCAAATTAGCGAAAGTGTGAGAATAGATAAAGCGTTACCACAATCACTGATCAATTCGAAAACTGAATGGAACTCTTTTCATGTACCCAACCCGACGTTTTGAACTGTGGGATGCTTTTATGGTTTGTACATGAAGTAATAGGAGGGAAAACGTTTCAGTCAGAAGACATGAAGTATTGACTTATTATTATTTACCATGGCGTCGAACTGAAGAGGCTGAGAATCAGCAAAATATATATTTTATTTGCCATGGTTTTAAGTTTTGGTTTTTTGAATTTATTTTAACAGTTTTAATAATTAGGGTCTAGGTTTTATTAAATGTGTTGAAAGAGAAACTTATGGACGATATGTCAAATTCAAACTGCCTGAAAATATAAAGCCATGGAAATTAGTGAAAAGACCAGACTAGGGACCCAAGGATAGTGCAAAGTTTTCATGCCCTGTAATACCTAAGCAATGAGATGTTTGTTCCAACATAAACATTTTGACTTATGCCAGTAAAAATATAATGAACTGGGTTAAACATTAATCAAAACGAAATTACTCAAACTACTCAAGTTATGTTAGCCGCGGATACTGTCACTATTAAATTATAATTTTAGTTGCTTGTGTAAACCAGCGTGATTTTCTCAGTTCTCAGTCTCTTTTCTTCGTCAAACAACTATGACTACATTCACTACATTTACATGATGGCAACAATTTATCCGCCTCTTCATAAGAATAGCCAAAATTAGTTGCATTGTAAATAATGTAAACAAACCGTGGTGCATATTATGTCTATGAAGTTAATACTTCGATGCGTAAATCGATACAAAACAATATACTTATAATAAATACTGTATACTGCCAAAATGATTTGATTACTGCACAAAATGTCCGTTTTGTATAGTATCATTTATGTACTGTATGCAGAATATCAGGTATCGACTTGCTATCAACATAATATACATTGGTGTAACTGTGTAAGAGTCTATCAATACATAAACAACACAGCATCGTTTCTTCCTAACCTCTTAACTCTATTTATGGAATAAACCTTCCAAATTATATTTGTGTTGAATTGTGAATGCTTGTAATGTAGAAAACGTTTGGAATCGACTGGTTTTTTTTAGTTCTAAACAAATTTTAATCACAAAAATCTCACAGAAATCCACAGATATAAATCGCTTCGGTCACAATATTTCACACATGTGTCACGAGTCATGCTCTATCACGTGACTTCCGGATCTGTTATACAAATGTAAAATGAAGTATCCGACACACTCCCCTCATAAATTATGAAATGGGTTTATGTCCTATTAAGGATACTTCCCTATTTGAAATCGTTAACATAAACAACTACTGTTCTAACATGTGAGTCCATGCTCGATATGAGTACCCCTATTGTATCTAAAGTTCGAGCTTAAAGTTCTTCCTCTTCTTCATCTTGCATCGCCTGTCGTATTCTCTCTCGAGCTACGATTGCCCCTCGCCTCTTTGGTCTGAATTCTCTCGAGTTTGCGTTCAAGTCACTGGGTGGAGACGTCTTCGATCTGTCGACGGACAATTCGAGTGGATATAGGTGTTGAATTGGCCGACTCTCGAGAAACCCTTTGCCAGCACGTAATCGAACTGCCCGCACCACGCCGTCTCGACCTGGAAATAGCTCTGTGACAATTCCCAATGGCCACTTTCTCCGATTCTTCTCCTCACTCTTTATAATCACTACATCTCCGACTGATAACTTGGACTGCTTGACTTTATGGATAAGGTTATGTCTCTCTCGTAAACCACGTACGTATTCATTCGACCATCGCTTCCACATCGCGTCCTTGCATTTCCGTAGGTATTTCGCTCTCTTCCTTAGGTCGAACTCTTCGCAATGATGTGGTTGTGCTTCTGGTATGGTATTGGTTTGATGGAATATCAAGGTATTCGGTGTGAGAATGGGAAATTGGAGATCTTCTTCCACATAGCTCAATGGTCTATCGTTCAGACACACTTCTATATCGAGCAACACCTCCTCGAGCTCTTTCCAGGATAGAAGACCGTTTCCAATGGTTTTGTGTAGAGCATTCTTTACGAGGCCAACCATCCGCTCAAACTGTCCGCCCCACCAAGGGGCGCGACTCAGATTGAACTGCCAGACGATCTTGTTATCTGCCAGGTATTGATTGAATTTCTCATCGTTGTTCACCTTCTTTAGCCAATTCGCCGCTCCAACAAATGTGGACCCGTTGTCAGAGTATATTTTTTTTGGTCGCCCTTTCCTCGCAATGAATCTCTTTAGGCTCAACAGAAACTCTTGTGTTTCGAGAGATGCCATCAAATCTAGATACACCGCACGACACAAAGAACAGGTGTATACAGCTATATAGGCTTTCCCTTCGACTTTCGCTCGTTTCTTATAACGGATTGGCCCAGCGTAATCTACACCAATAACTTGGAATGGGTATGTCCCTTGTGTACGATCTTCAGGCAAGTTACCAGGAGGGGGATCCGCCACAGCTCGGGCTCGGAATCTTCGGCATCCATGGCATTCTTTCACCGTTCCTTTTACAAGTCTCCGCAAACGCGGAACCCAATAATTCTTTCTCACGCTCGTCATTGTCAGCTGGACTCCCCCATGAAGAGTTCGCAAATGCTCTCGTTGCACCAACTTCTTTGTGTAAGGATGAGTATCTGGGAGATAAATCGGGTATTCGCCTTGAACACGACCTCGACACTGCAGAATCCCCTGTTCATTTGGTTGAACGTTAAGTCGTAGGCGATCTTCCTCGTTGTCGCTGCTTTGCTGCGCTCGTTTGATCCAAAATTCATGCTGGGCCATTAGCTCATCAGTAGTTAGTGGACCTCGGATGACGTTGTCGGGATTTCGGCAGTTGTAAATGAATCTCGCAATCCATGCAATTACTCGTACTGCCTTAGTCAGTTCGTGATCCTTAAGGATAAGATCTAGCTGGTCTGGGTTGGTTTCTGTAGCTACTGCGAAAATCTCCCTGGTTACTCTTGCTTCTGCTTGGCTCTCTGCAGATGACTGACTAACGATATCTCGTGGCCACACTTCGGGCTTGGCCATCCACTCAGGGCCATTCCACCACAGTTCCTTGTGTTGAACATCACCATCCCTGCTCGCCAGATCCGCCGGGTTTTCCTCCGTAGGAACGTGTCTCCATTTGATCTCTGATTTTGCTTGAATTTTCCTGACGCGATTCTCAACAAACTGCTTGTATTGACCAGCACCTCTTATCCAGTGAAGAACCACCAAGCTGTCCGTCCACCCACAAATATCTGTAACAGGGAAACCCTTCAGGGCATCCTTGACATTGGTAAGGAGGTTTGTCACCATATGCGCTGCCACCAATTCTAATCGGGGGATAGTAAGCCCCTTTTTCGCCAACCTCGCTTTGGCTGCGATGAGTCGTTGTGTAGTCCCTGATTCTTGACTTACAACTGCAAACGCTGTCGCTCCTACGCCGTCACCACTCGCATCGCCAAAACCGTGCAACTGAATGTACTGAATCGGTTCCTTGAATGCTGCCAAGGATCTTGGCACATTAATTCGCAGGGGAAGACCGTCGTTCCCACCTTTTCCAAGCACGTTTCAATTCGGTCGGCAACTGCTTGTCCCAGCCAAGCTTCTGGTCACAAATGGCTCGGAACACCAGTTTTCCTTCTAAGGTAAGGGGGGAAACGAGTCCGAGGGGGTCATATATGCTCGCAAGCTTGCCCAACACGCCACGTCTCGTTTCTTCGACTTTCTCCTCAGGAAATGATATGCTTATCTCGTCACGTTTCTTGTTCCAGCCAAGACCCAACAAACCCGACTCCGCACCGTTAGGCGTTCCCAATTGTTGCTTGGCAAACGTTTCTTCCTCACTGGCCGACAAATCTGGATTGTCCTCAAGTTCAGCTTCATTCGAATGCCATTTATGTAAAGTAAATGTAGCGTCCTCCATAATCTCAACTGCTTGCTGCTTGACTTCCTGGGCCTTTTCCACTGTAGCTCCACCACTCAAGAGGTCATCTACGTAAAGACTCTTGCGCAACTCTGCAACAGCCTCTGGCTTACGAGATTCCCAATTGTCTAGATGCTGTTCAATCACCCCGCCCAATAAGAAGGGTGATGATGTTAACCCAAACATAACTCGTGTAAATCGTAATGTCTCAAGTTCTGAATGTTCTCCCGGTTGCCAGTGGAACCTCAAGGCATCCCGGTCCTCTTCTTTCACCCGCACTTGCAAGAATGCTTTCTTTAGATCTCCATTGACTGCTACCGGATGAGCTCTCGACCTGACCAGAACATTCCACATGTTATTCTGCAACACAGGACCAGGATTCAAACAATCATTGAGTGAGACAGCATCTGGATGGGCTTTTGCGCTGGCATCGTACACTATGCGGAGCTTGGTTGTCTCAGCATTCTCTTTTACAACGGGTTTATGCGGTATGTAGAATTCCACTCCTTTCGCTTGATCATTTGCTGGTTCTACGACCCCTTCCGATTTCTGCTCTTCGATCTTCATGGTATACGCTTCATCCAGCCCAGATTTCTGCAACTTTCGCTTCAGGTTTCGCAATCGACACAAGCTACCCTGTTCATTAGTTGGTAGGGGAGGATGGTTACCCCTCCACGGGAGCCCGGTTTCATACCAACCTGCCTCGCTGCGGGTCAGCTGCTCTCGGAACTCAGCATACACTTCCTTCTGGTCTTGCTGTGGGGAATCAGCTAGTCCCAAAACATCAAGTCGGCACAACTCATCATATTCAACATGGCTGGTTTGGGTCAGAAGCACCCGGGAAGTAACCGATTCTTCGCCTGGTGAGAGAATAAACCACCCAAGTTTGGTATGTTCTGCAACTGGGTCACCTTGCGTCCCGATCCGAGGTCTGGAATCTGTCTTTATCTTTGCGAAAACCCCGGCTCCCAGTATTACATGCACTGGTAGATAGGGTTTAGTGTCATAGTCATCCATTTTCACACCTTTCAAATGAGAATATGACTCAATAAGATCCTTGTACTGTGGGTTCTCTACTTCGAGCAGTGTACCTTTATTAACTTTGATTAGATCAACCTCTAACTCATAATCCCCTGATTTAGATGAGATAGTTGAATTGTGTATCTCCATTCTTGTTGTGGTTGAGGCCATGAGCATTTCCACTTTCTTGTATTTCACTTCTGTTGGTTTCTTTCCCAATGAATCAAGCAACTTTGATGAGGCATAACAACTCGCAGCTCCGGAGTCTACCAAGGCACGACACTCAACACCGTCCACTTTTATCACAACTATAGGGTGAATAACTTTGTCACCATCACATGTGGACATCATACTCTCACCGTCCGGTTTCTTTGTTTCACAAATAGAAGTATGGTGACGCTTGGAACACAATTGACAACCAGTAGTACTCTTACAGTCAGATGCCCTATGCCTTGGCCCCGTACAATTAAAACATAGCCTTTTCTCTGCTAAGATCTTCTTTCTTTCTTGTGGTGATGTAAACCGCTGACATTGAATTCCCTTGTGCGAAGTCTCCCCACAGTAGACACACCCCCTCACTTCACAGTGTTGTGTATTGTAAGCTTTGGTATTACGCTTTCGATACTTGTCCTCTTTCTCTATGGGATTTCTACGTGTCCAGGACCGTAGTGCCTCACAAAGCCTTACAAAATCCCACTCTTGCCACTCTTCATCATGGCTGACAAGATCACTCCGAATGCCCGACAATTTGTCCAGAGTAAGTGGTACATTTCCATTCACACGTTCTAGTTTACCCATTGTCTCTAGGGATTGCACATCATACACCAACCGTTCATAAAACTGGTGGACTTGTACAGGGTCAGTCCCCCTGACAGTTGGTAGATCAATAATATCCTTCACATAAGCTTTTACTATTTCACTCTCCTTGCCATATCGCTCTTCAAGAATAGATTTTGCCCTATTATAGCCTTCGACTGTGAATGGTAACCCGTCAATACTCTTCCGCACCCTCGGTTCAATAAATTCTTTCAAGTAAGAGAATTTAGTAATGGGGGCCATACCTGATTTGTCAATCTCTTCAGTGAATTGGTTCCAAAACCTGTTCCAATCAATGTACTCTCCATTGAATTTAGTAATGCTGAGCTTTGGAAGCTTCGCAGTTAAGGCTTTCTCGGTACTTGGGTTTTCCAGGGGGGCCGCCTTCTTTAATTCCATTTCTTTGAGTTGAAGTTTATGTTCGAAAAGCTCTCGCTCAAACTCAATTTGTTGTTTTTGACCCTTCTCAATTTCTGCTTGTTCAACCTTATCTAAACAATTTGACAAATAAGCAATGTCCTCATCGACAACTGCAATCTTGCCCTCCACGTCCTTGTTCCATGTTGTAATGTCCTCGATTTTCTCCCCCCCGGCGATCATGATTTCTTCAAGTGTTGTTCTCGCCTTTTCAGCCGCATTTCCCAGCGCTTGCAATGTATTCTTCTGTCGCTCGATGCGACTTTTCATTCCACTTGATCCAATTTCTTTCGTTTTATCTCTCGTTATCCGTAGTTGTGTCAGCTTTGTCGCTAGATCTTGCTTCACTGTTTCCATGCTTATTGTTGTTATTGTAGTACTCAAAAAAACCCGTCGATTTCCCCTTGGTTCTTGCTCTTGTTCGAGCAAAAATCACGTTATATCCTGCCGGGGTCGCCAAGTGTAGAAAACGTTTGGAATCGACTGGTTTTAGATAGTTCTAAACAAATTTTAATCACAAAAATCTCACAGAAATCCACAGATATCAATCGCTTCGGTCACAATATTTCACACATGTGTCACGAGTCATGCTCTATCATGTGACTTCCGGATCTGTTATACAAATGTAAAATGAAGTATCCGACAGTAATTCATAACATAAGTTGATAAATTGCGTAGATTCTCAAAGAATTGCTTAATTTTTACGGCCGGAATGTTTTGAAGCAATGCTCGTCGCCCTTGTTTCTATACATCGTGAATTATGTTCAAGTGACAACGGCACATGCACAATTGCCACATATAAGAAAAAATCGGGTGTTCCGGGGGGGGGGTAATTCTGCGCAAATTCCTTTAAAACAAAACCCAAACCGCGGAAAAGCAATGCTTCAAAATTTACAGTAACCGTCAAAATTCCTCAATATTTTGGTGAACTTTGCAAAAGAAGTATAGTGCATAAATAAATAAAGCAAGTTAAACTGATTTAAAACCTTTAAATTACTGATCATATACAAAATGTTACTATAAAACATATATCAACTACCCCCCATAAAGTTTACACTATGACTGACTGACTTACTGACTGACTGGTTTGAATTTTTGCCACTCATCACACAATACTAAAAACATAGGTTTCCAATACACCGAAGTTGTAAACTAATATCTTAACATCAAGAAAAGGGAGCTTGCCATTTGTTGTCAGATGTGAAGGATATATTGGGATGTTGTCGGTTGGGATAATCAAGGAAGAGAGGTATGTGATCCAGAGATTGGAAGAGAAGGAAGCAATCATCTACATAGCATCGATAGAGTACTGGTTTGAATAAGGTTGGATAGTTTGGGAGCTATATTTGCTGATGAAAAGACATGAATATGTTTGCGAAAAGTGGACATAAGGGGGTGCCCATTGCCATGGCATCCACTTGTTGGTATACAGGGCCGTAGCTAGAAGCTTAATTGGGGGGGTGTATATTCATATATTTGTCTTATGCCCCACTGATTTCTTTTGTACGCTATTGTTTCTATGGTATATAAACTTGAATATATGAATATACACACTCCCAATTAAGCGGTCTAGCTACGTCCCTGGGTATAGACGACCATTGAATATGAAATGGCAGTTCTTAACAGATAGGGACAAGAGTTTTTCAAATTCAGCACGATCAAGGCCTTGAAAGAACTGGTACTGGGGAAAAAGGTTGTTACAAATTATAGTAATTGTTTCATCAACAGGGATGTTGGTGAACAAGAGGCCACATCAAAACTAGCCATGACAACATTGTTGGAGTTGATATGTCACCGTTCAAGATTTCTTGGACGAACTAGAACAAATCCTTTATAATAAAGGAGCTAGATATGATAGGAGTTAGAAGCGGTATGAAAAATTTTGCAAGGTTGTACAAATAATTATTAACACATGACAAAATCGGTCTGAGAGGAGTGGTAGACTTATGAATATTAGGAAGACCGTATAAAATACCTATGCGAGATCCTGTAGGATGTAGTTCATTATATGTTTGTTCATTGATCGAATAAGAGGCCTTTAATTTCTTCAGCAGTGATTTCAATTTGCCTTCCTGTTGTAGCATAATTTTAACAGGATCTTCATCAAGCAACTGAAATGCTGCAACTCGAGCTGTCCGATGGTATTTCACCCATTTTGTTGGTATAGTAGTCTTTTGTTGAGAATAACTGCGTAGTAACACTGGAAACTAACTATTAACACTGGAAATGCTTCATGCATTTCATTAATGATACAGGGTGTTGGTTTTCTCCAGGTGCAATATTGTACACTTCATTCCCCAATGAAAATGTTGATTTGTTTCTGTCACAGGGTTATTTGGTAATACAAACGGCAAAAATGTCTCATTAGTTGCTTGCCTATGTTTATTCAATGGATCGTCTTCTTCCTTGCTATCATGATTTGTATCCTGTTGTTTGCAGTTTTGTGTTAAGGACATCAGTTTATTTATTGTTGTCAGATTTCATAAGTGAAGTATTCTCATCTTGTTGTAATGTCATAAGTTTTCCACTAATATTTTCAATATCAATTGTAATATTACTATATAATTCATTGTTTGACTGAAGCCAGTTAAGTACATCAAAAATGAACTAGGGATGTACTGCTTGAAAATAAACATGACCTCTGAATTCAAGTTTACGTTTGAGCTTTAACATTATAATACCGGATCTTTCTGGTGGTCGTGGCAAAACTTTACAAGTATTATCGCATTAACGGGCATGTTACAGATTGCCCCTTTAATTTTTTTTGTTGTCCTTTTGGCATAACTATTATCTTCTAAAAAAGTATTCGTTATGCAATAAGGATTTGTTTGAGTTTTTCTACAGATGCAAGTTCAGCTGGTATAGCATCAACATGCATGTTATAACATATTGCTTGACAAGGAATTTTCGCTTTTAATAGCTTTGAATGGGATGTTTTACAAATGTATTGTTTGTCATCAAATGACTCCACATTAGTGAACAGGGTTTCAGGCAAATTTATGTATTTATCTTGTTTTAATAACACCACTACGGTGGCCCATGTATGCAATGCGAAACAGTAATTTGAAATGCATGATTTCCTTTTGTAACGCGCTAGAACGTTTGCCAATACTGTTAGAAGTTTTGTAGTGCACAACAATATGTTTCAGTGCACAACAAAATTTTTCAGTGCACAACAATACTTTCCCAATGCACAACAATATCTCGTGTAGTGCACAACAATATTTTTCAGTGCACCAAAATATTTTCCCAATGCACAACAATATTTCATGCAGTACACAACAATATTTTTCAGTGCACCGAAATATTTTCCCAATGCACAACAATATTTCGTACAGTGCACAACAATATTTTTCAGTGCACAAAAAGATTTTCCCAATGCACAACAATATCTAGGAAAAGGTTGAAAATTCCTTACATTTACTCGTAAAAACGTGGTTAAGAAAGTTTTTTTCACCTGCTTTGTTGTTTTTCAGGTCCTAAACGTAGTTTTGAAGTAAAAAATGTCAAATGTCTTAAAAGTAACTCTAATACAACTGGAAAAATAACTTCATTTTATGAAGTCTCTAAAACCTAATGATTTTGTTCACTTGCTGATTAAGGCAGGAACTATGCAAAAGAAAACACTTTCAGAGGATTAAGGAGAGTCTCAAAGAGGGAAAAAATTCCAATGAAAAGATAAATTTCCCAGCTTGAAATTTTATAACACTGATATACTTTCTAGGTAAAAGTCTAATATTGTGAATATGGCACAAATTCCTTAAAAAATTCCTCAGAAACATAAATTCCTTAAAAAATCTTCAAAATGCTTCTAAATCCTATTTCGCTAACATTTAAAATTGCTTTAGTTTGGTTCTAAAAACACTGAATTATTCAAAAGATGTATTGTTCTGCTTGTGGCTGTCATGTTCAAGAGTCTTTTAATCACTGTTCTGCTTGCGGGGAACGATTGCAAACTAAAACGAAAGCAAAAGAAAGCCCAAGGTGCGAAACGACTCGGGGTAGTGCTTCAACCACCACTATGCCAAGTACAAGTGTTTCGAACACGTGTAAACGACAAACATTGTTGCCAACTTACGAAGAGTTTGCTAAACGTAAGTCAGCAGAACGACAGTCCCATTTTAAGCCAAAAAGAGGTGCAAAATTGAAAGTATGCAAAGTCACTATAAACATAGGTTTACTGGCGTATGTATTGGGTGAATTAAAACCAGTAAGAGGAGGGTCTTTGCCGTTAAAAATTAGCGACAAAGCAACTTATGATGAAGTCTGCTCTGCTGCAATAGAAAAACGCCAAGCATTCGACAGGAGGTTTAATGTGGAAAGGGGATATGTTGTACCATACCCTGATACAACTATTGCCCTAAAACTTCCTGGAACTGAAGATGATTTTGTGTTAAAAAGCTATAAAGAATGGCTGGGAAAGGCATATTCTAGAATAACTCTGTACTTAAGCCCGGTGTCAGATGAGTTTGGTGAAAATAGGGATGAATTAGATGGTGCAAGTGACACAACCACCATGAATGAAAATGTTGATTCAGTGGATTCTGACATTATTGATGTTATTGACCAAGCTTGGGAAAATGAATCTGTAGATGATGACCATTCCTTACACTTTAGTTCTTTTGTGGCAACAGATTTTAGGTAAGTCCTTTTAGTAGAAGCAATGTTGGTTGCAACTTGCCAAGTGTGGCTCAGCAGCATTTGTGTTGCAAGTTGCATCAAATGTTACCTAGGCCTTATTAGGAGGTGTTTATTTGGATTATTTCCCAAAAATTCATCCCATTGTTTTTATCCCCATATCTACATTTATATAGCATTATTTAACACTTTAATTACTATTTGCCATTAATATCTTGGAGAGAAATAAAAAATAGTAGTGCTTAACTTACTCATTAACCTTGAAATAGCAAAATTATATTTCACAAATAATTTCTCCAAATTTAATTTGAACCTTGCATGAATTGGATTACTATAAATGGTTTTGTATTTTTATATTTATATACAAATCTTAGACAACTAAATAGCAACAAAATGGTAATTAGTTACACTTGGTTCTTTTATTTATTTTGGCCCTGTGGGCTTGACTGAAACAGAAGCAGTTGACAAAGCTATAAAGGTTAGTTTGAGGAAATCCCAAGATAACATTGAAACTGATGACAAGAGCATGACATTGCAAGACACATCTGAAACTGCAATGGTAGATTCTGTTAAAGATCATATTGGTAAAGTTTTGATTGGCAATCCAAGAAGCATTGTTGTCAGTAGATTACGAATTTGGGACACAGCTAAACCCTTTTTTAAACAAAAATCGTTTATGGCGAAATCTGGTATTTTGAAAGTGACTTTAGCAAATTTAC